TTAGTACCAATTTATAATTTATATCCAAAGACATTCATTTTGTATAACCATATTTACCTACTCGTGTCAAATTGTCAAATGTTCGATATATGCCTATCAATATGTCTATGGAGACCAATAACCCTTTTATTTTGGTTATTTGGTTCAACAAACTAACATGTTTAGCAATTTTGTCTATAATTAGTTATGATCTAATTTCCAAACCCAAATGGCAACGTCAACAAAAAATTCCATTATACGCGAGCGAATACACAACAAAATAGCTGCTGCACTGCACAAATAGCGTCTTAATGACAATAAAATTAGAGAAACATGAGGAGGATGGGGAGATACTGCAACCCTCCTTCTCATTCCCCCATCAATTACCATGACGACAACATAACAAATCAAGTCACCACAACGAACATGGAGAGAATAACTAACTACTGAACTGAAATACCGTAACAGAAACAACAAAAGCAACAACAACGAGTAGCAGAGCTATGGAAATTTTCATTTGTTTGTTTAGTGGAAAATATATCATCGAGCCCATTGAACGAATGAATGGTATGGATGATGGAGTGGCGACGTTAACGGAACATTTAGATAACATCATCGATTAACAATAAACTGCTGTCAACGGAGGATCCCCCTACCAAGCGGGTCGGCTTCATATATCCTTTCAATTAGTAAAATTTATGTTTAGTCTACGAATACGAACGTTTAATTAATATGCAAATGAATGTCCTGACGTTGATGATGATGTCAGAGTGTGAGTAAATGGGTGACTGGGTGTGTTTGCCAGTGAAGAGGTGAAAATTTCCTTGTTACAATTACCAGCGATTAATTCAGATTTCCTACTTGTGATAATGAAATAACTAATGTTCAGTGATTTGTTTGCTTGTCAAGTACTGATTTCCACAGAATTACCACTACACATTAAAATATGCGTACTGTTGGTGGAGGGAGGGGGCAATAGCGGGGTGAATGAAGTGTTGACAACAAATGACAGTTTAAATGCATAATTCATGATAACAATGATATACTATGTACTGATAGTATTCTACTTATTATGTATAGGGGATTATAATGCTAATTATGATGTGTTCAGAGAGTGAGAGATTAAAATCTGTCACTTTATATTAATATATGTGTACTCGCATTTATTTAGTGTTGACACACGTGTAACATATATTAAATTTAGCATGAGTAGTTTGAGGAGGTTTGTCTAATTTGAAGACCCTTTAGATTAGCGTATATTAATAAATACTGTAATTTAAAATTACAATGTATGACAATTACCTGTGACATTTTTTCCAGTACTAAACTATGGACTGAAATGGAAATTAGATCCCACGAAAATAAAGCAAATATAATTTAGTGACACATAATGTCAACACATTTTTTGGATCGCATAAAATATTAGCCATAGGCACTTTTGATGTGAATTTCCTTTTAATATTTTATCGATGACCAGCTATAGACGAGGATTTTTCTCAAATATTTTTCTTAAAAATATTTGTTCATGGACCAGTATGAATTTGTGGGTATCTGTTTCAGAGAATTTGGAATCTGTCTGCCTGTCCGGCTGGTGCGCAAACTTTGCACATCGTAATATTTCTACCAAACAAACTTAGTTAAAGCTCGAAGATGGGGAATATCAGCCCACTCCCCCTGGCACTTTCCCCACAATATGGCCAAAATTGAGCTAAAAAAATAATTTTATAATATTATGCGAATGGACTATTCGATTTGAACCAAAATTTGCACAACTGAGAAGTGTGTTTCTTACAAATATTGCTTCAAGGTTCTGCTATAGTCCTAGATTTCCTTAATGTATATTTGCTTACAAACATTTTTCAGAAGTGGGTTTCTTACACATATTGCCATCCAAAATAAGGACTTCTCTTTATTTACAAAAACAACAACAAAACAATAACAAAAATTTAGTTTAGTTTAAATTAGTTTTCTTCTCTTTTAAATCTTCAAATATGTATGTGCAAAGTTACAAACCTTAACTTAGCATTGGTATTGATTTATCAGCCCATTGAAAATCTTCTCTTAAATGATTTAGTTTTTCACACATAATGTCCAACGTTCAAACATTATAATAAAAATTATATATTACGAAAAAACTTTTATATGTGATTTACGTTTACTTTTGAAACCACGAAACGGATAACCCCGTATGTTTCAAAGTCCAGTAATACATACAAAATATTGTTTCATGGAACAACTATGGGCGTGGATTGTTTTTAATTTTTTCTAAGGAAGAGATAAATAAGTTAATTTTTTGTATTATTTTTCCAATATTAGAATTTTAGGATAATTTTTTAAAAGCCAAAATGCGTGGATTTTTTAGAAATAGTTTTTCAGTATCAGCTATAGAAATGTGTGTCTTAGAAATATAATTTCAAAACTCAATTGAAAACTCAATATGCAAAAAAAAGGTAAGACCTTAAAAATACCGCAAATGGGTCGGGGCCCTTAATTGGTGGCCATTATATAACAGGAACCCATATGTTTTTGCATTAATTTCACCCAAAATTAAAATAAATAGAAATGTATTACAGGCAATCCACACCTGGTTTACATTAATCGCCAATTTATTTATTTCGTAGTTTTGAGTTTTTTAAATATAATACAACAACATTTTTATAGGCAAATATATATAATGTTTGACCAGGAACATATTTAGATGAGATATCTACTATGTTGGGAAAACAACAACTATGTTGTCAGAATATTATAGCTTTGTGCAGCCCCAATAGTTTGTAACGCCGCGAAATATTGGTCCTAGACTCACCTTTAAGTATACCGATCATATCATATCTCGACTAGCTGAGCCGATCTAGACATGTGTGTCCTTCCGTCCGTCTATCCATTATAATTTGTAAACACGATACAGGCCACAGTTATGGACCAATCTTCACGAAATTTTGCATGTAGGATGGGTTCTGGCCAATGAAGACCCTTATTGTTTTTGGTAAAGATCGGTTAATATTTAGGTGATGAAATGTACCAAAAACTTTATTTTTGTCTGATTTTCTGGTCGCTCCAGAGGCCGTAATTATGAGCCAAACATCACGAATTTTTACATGGAGAAGGGGATCAGGCCAAAGAATATGTATGCCTGTTTTGAATCGGTCAATATTTGCGGGTCAAATGGACCCTGACTTTTGTGTGAAAAATGACAAAATTTGTATCGAATAGCGTATAGATTTACCCCTGAAGAACATAGACCCGAGAAGTTGAATGTATATCCAAGAGGAGTGGTTGACCCTTAAACTGATACCAATTATATTGTCGTATGTACTCAGATGTGGGAGTTGCACTCAAATATTTACAGGTGCTTACGTATTCATATATTATTTAGTAACCCAGAAGGCGGAAACATAGCGCAGATCACTTTAAAATTTTCCATGAGGACCCAGATGTGGTCTAAGATAACGTCTATATGATGATCGGATAATAATTTTGGGATGAATTGAACCGAAAACTTAATTTTTGTATTTTTTCGAGTCGGTCTATAAGCCACAAGCCGAACATCACTACACAACCCACGGTGAAGGGAATCTGGATAAGTAATTATAAGGGCTGTGCTGAATATTAGTACACAACTCGGCTCCGTCCGACTATACTGCTCCGCTCACTGGTTTTAAGTTATTTTTAAACAAATTTTTACGGAAAACATTTTTATAATTAAGGTTATTAAAAATGGAAAATAATTTTGTTCTTTTTTTACAGATTACTTATAAATTCTGTAAGTACAATTTTTTATTTCTATTGACATATATTTCTCCAAACAATCGGTCAATATCTTCATATCAGTTCATATCAGAGCCGGATATGTACCCTTTAGAATGCATTGAATTATTTGGATTCGGACGTCCCAGTGGTCGGAAATCATACCCACACTCGAAAAAAAGACTCTTCGTTATTTACAACTGCTATAAAACAACAACAACATAATTATATACACTCATGTTCTTATCCTTTAAGTCTTTACAAAGTTAATTGTTTGACCTTTTCCTGCTATGTAATTTATTTAATATACCCTAATTATGGTATATACACTTTTATATGACAATAATATGCCTCATCGAACTATTGGTTTTAGGCCACATACTTCTTTGAACCAAATCCGTTTCAAACAATTTGAAGTCGATATACAAATGTCCGTCCGTCTGTCTGTGTGGCACACGATAACTCTCGTAGGGAGTAACCGATGGAGAATATCGGTTCACTCTTTCTGGTATTTCCTCCACAAAATGGTCAACATTGTGCAATAAATTAATTTTATAATGCGAACAGACTATTGGATTGGAACCAAACTTAGTACAACCTATTATCTTAACCAAGACTAGACCAAGTCCGAAGATGGGATCCATTAGTCCACTTTTTTTGGTACATCCCACACAAAGGTAAAATTTTTTCAATATTTTTATTATCTTTACCAAGCCCAGATGAAGTCCAAAGATCTGACCCATTTGTCCACTCATTCTGATACCCACAAAGGGTCAATCTTTCATAAATTTGTAAATCTAATTTGAAATGAATTGAATAAACGATTTGATCAACATTAAATCCGAAACCTTTATGATAAAAACATAAACCTTGTGTAAAGCGAATAATAAAACTTTTTCTTAATTTGCAAGTATTCTTCTTCCTATAGGAGAGCTGGAGGTATTATTCCTCCTATAGCTGAGCTGCAGATATTCTTCTTCTATATTCTGTTTCATTTGGAATAGTAGGTATACCCCCATCTGTCGGCCACTCCAAGTGACAATTTGTTCTTGTTTTTTTTATAATAATACTCAAATATTTTTTATTTCAACAAATATTTCACACGATTGTGAAAAAAGACGATGTACAAAAAGAATTTATGACTTGTGTACCTTTATATATAAGATTTTTAAAACTAATATTTTAAATATATTTTATGGCAATATACACGAAATTTATTTATTTGTGCAATTCTCAACAAAAATGTTCATAAAAAACACGTTATATTTCTTTACCTCGACCTCCACCGGATAATGGTGTTAGTGGGCATACTGGAAATAACTGGGCCTGTAAATATTGCACACGACCACCTAAATCCATTTTTAATGCATTTCTTTGCTCCTGCTTCTACTGCTGACTGCTATTCTATTTTTTCCAAGCCGTTTTGAAAATTCACACAACACATTGGGTATACCGAACACGTTTTTAATTTATTTTCATTTTTTCACACCGAAAACACACGGAAGGGAGATACTTTCATGATTGCACTGCACCGTATTTACCCTGGCTAAGCAATGAAATTTATTTTTTCATATTTTTTTTTCTACCGGAAACGGAAGGATACTTTAAGAAATTCTCGTAAACAAAGAAAAAATGTTTTTGAAAAATAATGTTGTTTACGTTCGCTTTGGCAGGAAAATAACCCGAAAAATAAAATAATTTTTTTTAAGATTTCTTGAAGAAGAATTTTTCAAAGGAATATTTTACAGTTGTTTTTTCGACAAGAATTTTTTTTTTTTAACACAAATAAATTAAATTTTCGACATTCCAAACGTTTATTTCATTTTCTTTGTATTATCTTCATCTTGTTCTTCTCGAAAACTCGTTTATTTATTTGCTTTTGTTCAACCGACCTTCTTTCCAATGTTCGCGTCGTGGTCCTCGCATTACTAACACACAAAAAAATCACTAACCTGACAATAGACTTTTCTTTTGATTTTCCCTCAATTGTCATAGACAACAAAAACATCGACAGCAATAATAACAATAGTGACTTTTGCCGAATATATTTCCGTTTGTTCGAATTTCGGCATGCAATACTCTTAATGCTTTAGCTTACCATGGAAAAAGTATTCCATGATGAATAGTTTGCCACCACCATCACCTAAAATACTACCCGGCTTTTTTTGTAACATTTGATTTTAACAATTGAAAATGGCGGCAAATATAAACAACAATGACAATAACAACAACAACATCATAAATATAGTGAAGAAAAAAGCGGAACGCCATAGGAAATTCCTTGGATACACCAAAACTGCTGATGTTTGTTTTTTGGGTTCAATAGGTTGCCGTTGTTGCTGTGGCCAAACAACGGCTCCCAATGCCTCCACCACCATTACCATTTCCCCCCTTCGTCGTTGATTTGTTGTGTGTTTACACACCTTTGCCACAACGGAATTCACAAACATTTGTGGGTAAATCCTACAAATATGAAGTGTTGTTGTTGGACGTGGTTTTATGGTCTAAACATTTGTGGTAGCTTAAGAGATAGAACGCACGCTTTTCTACTCCAACTGCAGTACATCGAAGTGTAGATAATCAAATCACTTGAAATTTCTCGTGGTATTTACCCACCGAATGCGGTTTGTTGAAAATCGATGGTGGAGAAAGTAAAGGCGTAGAACAATCTTGAAAAGTCTTGGAACAATGTTAGAACAGTTTTGCGAATCATTAAAGAAGGACGGAATTAGCCTGTCATACCGACAGATATGACAAAACCGTATCTAAATAAAATGAGGTCTTTGCCGGACTTTTAAAGGGTTAGTTAAAAAGCTGTTACCTTTTTTGTCAAAAAATGTTTTAAACAGCTCCAGCACGTTTTTGTTTCATTGTCAAAGATATTCAGTTAGGACAATAATTTAACCACCGAATGGAGTGTACTTTGGTGTTCCTGGGGGCCATATGGGTTCCATACGAGTCAATTCGGTATTTCTTTACCACATTTATTTCAATTTTTTACATACGCCGCTTATAAAGTCCCGCCGTATTTTCGGTATTTCTTTACCACATTTATTTCACCTAAGTGACGGTAATTTTGCATTCCATGTTCTCGGAGGGTGAAAAATATCTTTACATAAAATCAATATTTTTATATAGTCTCCATGTAGAATTTTAGCATCTTATTTCGCATTCATAGTAAATAAAAAAAATCTTCTCAGAAACCCCCCTACAAATTTTCGATATTTGATGTTCCTAGCGCAAATTTCCAAAAACCAAGCGTAATTTGGTATTTCATATCCTTAGATCAGTGATGCACACGGTGAGAGGACGGCAATTTGTATATGTGTGTGTGAGACTAGTACACAAAGCTAAAGCGGCCCACACACATCAAACATGTGCGTTCTATCGGTGTGAATGAAATTAAAGGAATTTAATTAAATAACAATGTTCGGTATTTTTTACGTTGTCACTATCGCTGTCCAACTTCAATCTTTAAAAACCAAATTCGAAATGAAGTTTTGTTGATTCGTTTCTGGCCTAGGAGCTTCACATTAATCATGCGTACATGTTGGACGTGTGTGGGCCGCTTAAGCGCAGCCGCAAAATGATGCACACCACCATAGACATGTTTACTCGTTGAAGTCTCAACGACGACTAAAAAATGAGCGTAAGAATACATGTGAGTTGAGCTGACCGCTAGAGTGCCCATGCATCCCTGACTTAGATATACTGCAATGAAATAATAGTCCCTATCCGTATCCGTAGGTACGGAGAGATTTAAGGAGTTTTGAATGAGGGTATAAATACATTTGGCGCGGCCGATAGTAACCACATTTCTAGATGTATGTTTTTATACCCTCAGCCTTATGGCTAATAAAATATTGTGCCTCATCGAAATATTGGTGTTAGATCCCAAACTTTGCACATCTTATTATTTTCTCCAAACTTAGTTCAAGCTCGAGGATAAAAAATATCGGTTCACTCCTTCTGGTACCTCCCACACAAAATTGTCAAATCATGCGAACGATCTATCCGATTTAAACCAATTTTGCACAAACTGTTATCATTACCCAGCCTAGATTAAGTACTAAGATTGGACCCATTGGTGAACTCCTTCCGGTACCTCACCCAAAAAGGGGTACGATTTTTCAATATTTCTTAATCCAATATCAGACGAAGGGAAGGAATTTAAACCAAACTTTGCATAATATATTATCTTTACCAAGCCTAGATCTAAACGGAAGATGGTACCTATTGGTTCACTTCTTCTTGTACCTCCCACACAAAAGGCCAAAAATTGCAATATTTACAAATCCAATATCCGACAGAGGGAAATTTATATAAATGCATTATTTAATTTGAACCGAATTAAATAACCGATTTGATCAACATTAAATCTGAAACCTCTTTGATAAAAAATATACCTTCTTATAAGGCAAATAAAAACCAGTGAGAGAAGTATAGTCGGTCGGGGCCGACCATACGATACCCTACACAACTACCATGGAACTCTTACTTTCTGCGGATGATTATTTCGAGCCTAGGCAATATTTCGTGATATTTACACCATCTTGACCGATTAGATATCAACAGCACCTCTTCCTTACACTAACATATTTTCCAAATATTCCTAATATTCATTACAGCCCTGCTAATTACTTAACGAGATTCCCTTCACCGTGGGTTGTGTTGTGATGTTCGGTTAAGTTTTCGGTCGGTGATGATCACATACATCTCCAAAAATTATAGGCGTTGTCCTTGACCATAACTGGAACCTCTTGGAAAATTTCAAAGTGATCAGCGCTATATGTTCGCCCTCCAGTGTGGTAATGGGTTACTAAATAATATATAAATACGCAAGCACCTGTAAATATTAAAGTGTAACTCCCACATCCGAATACATACGACATTATAATTGGTATCAGTTTAAAGGTCAACCACTCCTCTTGGCTATACTATCAACCTCTCGGGTCTATCTTTATCGATCTTTATCAAAACAGGCATGCTAATTCTTTGGCCCGATCCCCTTCTCCATGTAAAAATTCGCGATGTTTGGTCCACAATTGCGGTCTCTGGAGCGACCAGAAAACCAGACAAAAATAAAGTTTTTGGTCCATTTCACCCCCTAAATATTAACCTATGTTTACCAATAGGGGTCTTCAATGGCCAGAACCCATCCTACATGCAAAATTTCGTGAAGATTGGTCCATAACTGTGGCCTGTATCGTGTTTACAAATTATAATGGACAGACGGACGGGCGAACGGACACACATGTCTAGATCGACTCAGCTAGTCGAGATACGAGATCGGAATACTTAAAGGTGGGTCTAGGACCAATATTTCGCGGCGTTACAAACTCTTGGGGCTGCACAAAGCTATAATACCCTGACAACATAGTTGTGTAGGGTATAAAAACTATGTGTAATTCCAAAGACCTCCGTAAACCATAGGCTGAGGATATATATCTGTCGGCAACACCTACTGACACTTTTTTACTTGTTTTGAAAGCAGATAAACAAGCCACATTTTTATTTTAAATGTTATACTAAAAACTTTCACCTCGGATTGACAAAGTGCTTTTTTGAACAAACAACCTTTTTTACCTTAATCCTCGTGCTGGTAGCAAAAAATTAGATGGGCATTGTTGCTAACCGAATCGAATGCAGTTTTAGGTTTATCAACATAACAAAAACGCCCTGATCTGGTCCATCAACCCATGTATATTTATAAGCAGACAGTGAAGTTATTTGGGTAAGATTTTGACTCGAATAGGAAATAACTTAACCATACACTAATATGTTCTAATAATGTATTTATCAGAAATGTAAAAAAAAAAATATATATATATATATGGGAAATTACAAAAATCTTTTAAATTCCTTGAAGCTGAGGTTTGCAAGGTTATAACACGCGAAATATGAATATATTGCATATAATTTAAATTCATTTCTATAAAATGAAGTGTTCTTGTCAAAATCTTTAAATATTGGTGATAAATAATAAGTAGCGTGGAAGCTGTGATGGTGGTAATGTAAAAAAATGGGTTGAAGCCGACGAGTTTTTTTTTTTTTTTTTTGTTCTTTCCTGATAAACTACACAATCCACGCACATGTGATCAGTGACTAAGTTGCAGAATACCACATGGACAATATGGTTCTAATGTATGATTTTTCGATATAATCACTGCATCCACCCAAATTGGATGCTGACATTTTGAAGCCGGATTTTCGGTGTTTTTTGAATTTTTCTTATAATAAGGATGCGCATCCATATTATGGACTAAAATAATTATAGGATTGTAGAACTCGTGATTTTGCTTCGTTTAGTGTATATCTCATGAATGTGCTCACCGTGACTTCTTTGCAATTGGGTTCCAAAGACG